AAACTGGTTTTTAATGTCTTTTGCAATCCCACATGTCTAAGAACAAAACAAAGTTTTCATTGTCTCTTAGTCTAGTTTCTTGTCTCCAGTATCAATGGAAGTTTGATATGAGAAAGACATTGTGGGGGAATAACCATGTATAATAGTCTCTGCCTTCACGATGTTTATAATCTCTTATGTGGATATTATGAGTTACACAAAGGACTATACTATTGTGATTGATCCCAGAAGTGAAACAGAAACAAATGGTATGGGAACTAACAGGGAGCTGAGGTCATTGCCAGCTTGGAGAATAAGGAAGGACTTGATTGAGGTCAGCAGCATTTGATGGAGTTGCTTCCCTGAAGGTAAGATGGTAGGAGTTAAGAAAAGTACTAGGTTATTTTGGGGAGTGAGTCATGGCAGTTGGATGCATATAGGTAAGGAGGTCCTTACCACATTTGAATGGTTCCTTTAAACTTGGGATGGGCCAGGCAGTGGGTGACACATGCCTTTAATCCTAGCATTTGGGAGGCTGAGGCAGGCGGATCTCTGTGAGTACAAGGCTAGCCTGGTCTACAGAGTAAGTTCCAGGACAACCACAGCCAAGGCTACACCAAGAAACCCTGTCTCAAAAAACCAAAACCTTGGGATGACTCTGCATTTTTCTTTTGTAGCCAACAGGGGACTTTAAAAGAAAAGTTAGTTTTAAATGTGATCTGGTCTGAACTATGCTTTATGATAATTCATCTACAAGGAAGGTAAGATAAAACTGCAAGTGGAAAGTCCCCAGGGGAAATAGGATAGCTAATCAGGTCTGAGGTATGAGGGCATCAGATGACTAGAGTTCTGTAAGTCTGAAGTAGAATCTACTTCCTTTATAATAAATTAGAGATGAGAGGCTATTTGGGCGAGGGAAAGGGGGAGTGTAAAGAGATTATTGATGAAGCACTGAATATGAAGTCCAGAAAATGCCATCGTGCTGGACATATTCAACATTTATACACTCCTGACTGGATCTCAGCACTACAGATTGGGTAGAAATCGGTATCCCAAACTCAACATTATTATATTGACACTTAGAGTCATACAAGTGCTTGGATTATCAAGGACTTGAAGATATAGGGGAAGGCTGAAAACCTTCCCTTATGACCAATATCTAGAATGCAATCAGCAAAATACTAGCTCCCTATATTCAAGAAGGAAGGGAATACATACTGAAAGGGAGTGCCCACATGCCACAGCTGAAAAGTGGGCTTTCTGTTTATGGGATTATTTGTTGAAAGGAGAGGGGCACTTACACAGTGTATAAAAAATAATGAGAGACCTCCTGAGGTATGTACATTTTCTAACAAATGGATGGGGAAGACACACAAGCCCATACCGAGCCTTTAAGTTTCCACAGCCATGATTCAAATCCTCATCTCTCCTTAAGATTCGTGATATATGCTCACCACCAATGGCCTCTTTGTCTTTTAGAAATCTCAAACTGCTCCTAGATTTTGATTTTTAGATCATCAACTAGGTAACTCTTCCCTTCAACTGTAACATCCTTCCACAGGTTCTCAATTTCAGTTCCCACTTGTCCTAGTTGTTGGGTTTAATTTGGGGGCTAAGAGTTCCAATGTGCATGCTCATCATCTCTAAAGGTCTACAATGGAGACAGGAAAGCACAGGTGAGGAAGTGAACCTCTAGCTCATTTGTAGTTCACACACCAAGGTCTGTTTGCAAACTAGGATTTTATCATCCAAAAGTCTGTCTTCACCTTAAAACCTGGGATTGTATCACAGAGATACCCCTGGCAAAAATTGGAGTAGCATTAACTATCTAGCAAATTTGTTTATAACTTTTTGTTTCTCTATATTATTTTTCTTAATGATAATCACTTGCAAATATACACCTTTTCCCAAAAATATCAGGACAATTCCACTTGCTGCAAAAGAAAAAGCCTTAAGAATTCAGGTTCATTATTAACTTTTAAAAATTAGGCTACTAAAACTTTCTTGTTTGTAGTTTTTAATAGTTTCAAGTAGCCAGGCTGGTCTCCAAGTCTCTATATACCTAAGGGTGACTTTGACTCCTGAACCTCCTGCCTCTATGTCCCAGTAGGGATTACAGGCATATATAATCCTGCTATACAGAAGGTTAGCATTTAATCTAGTCATCTTCAGATAGTCTGTTTAATATATTACTCCATGCTTCAATATGTTTCCCATTGGGTAAAGGTAATTTTTAAAATTCTGCTTTTGTCACAGAATTGTTTACATTCATGTTTTGAAACTATTTTCTTTTAAAGCTAGATACACTAGATAAATTCCAGGTGTATATTACTTAGGTAATTAGATGATGACCTGAAGCAAGTCTGGGCTCAGGATGCCAAAGTAAAGTAGGAACTAGCACTTTAGAGGTCTGGATAAAGACAGTAGCATATTAAGAAAGCAGGATTTAGGCATTGTCTCCCCCCTCCCCCAGCCACACAGACACAAAACAGGATTAGTGGGAGTCTAGCAGAGCTTCCCCTTAACATGGGTGATGAGCCTGAGAGCAAATTTTGAAAACAAAATTCTGAATTTTATATACCACTCCTACTGTATTTAATGGGTAAAGATTCCATACACACACACACACACACACACACACACACACACACACACACACACACACATTAGATCTTCAAATTTGTATGTATATTCACTTACTCTTTGAGACATCAACAAATAATTTAATAAGAATGAAGACAATATGCTGAGGGTTTTTCCTCCCTCTTCCTTCCCCTGCAAAGTTTTATAGTTCCTTCTAAGACCTTTACAAACTGGAGATGGGTTGGGCATGGTAGTGCACACCTTTAAGAGGCAGGTGGACCTCTGGGAGAAACCAGACTGGTCTACAGAGTAGTTCCAGGACAGCCAAGGCTGATATACAGAGAATCATGTCTTGAAAAAGAAAACACAAAACAAAACAACATAACTCAAAAGACAAAAAACAAACAAAACAAACAGCCCCCTCAAAGCCCCACCACCAACAAATACCAAAAACCATTAACAAATACCCACTAGCTTTGCTTAGTGCCAGCCTCTGTAACTTCTTACCTCACCTCTCATTTACTAAAGAATGTATGATGGTTTGCAATTGGACAACTGACTATGTAGTCAGACAGCAAGCAAGTGGGTTTCTACATATAGGCAGCGATCAATCCACTACATCGATAAACGACAGATTAGCAAATCCAATCACAGAGTTCTTGAAGGATCAAGTTGGAAGAAATCAGTTTGCAGATGTACCTGTTGCACTGGTGGTTGCTTTGTCAGGTAATCTGGACTGTCCTGTTTGCACCTGTTAAACAAGAGGTAGGACGAGAAGACCTCTAAGGTTACTTCGAGCTTTGAAATGCTATTACTCTTTGTAAGAACTGGGAAAAAAAATACAAAATGCATCCTCTATCTCTCACAAAGCCCAAACATACCAGGATGCCAAAAACTAGATTGACCTCTTACAGACAGGTCTTATTGTTCAAAGTGGAGAGAAATGAGGACTGGGGTGGGTTGGGACACAAAACAAAAATCCTCCCCCAAAAGACTTTTTCTTAAAGCAGCATCTAATTATGGAAAAGTTTTGCTCGGTTTGAAGTAGCCACGTTCATGAATTGTTGAATATCTATGATATGCCAAATACAATTTAAGTTACTAATGTTCTATTCGAAATTATTATTATTTTGCCTGCAATCTCTGAAACCTGAATTGGTGAATCCCGCCTTGGGTGGGCACAAAATGAAGCCAACCTTAAGGAGGGAGACAGTTTACAAATAAACCAAAAATAAAACACATGTGACGCTGTTAGAGGAAAAGAGTAGCCAACAGATTGTACAAAGATCAAAGGCAAAAAAGAGAAGCTTGTTTGGTTAATGCTGGGGCTTTGGGGCATTTCATGTACTTGCGAGGCCCGTCCATCCATCCGCACCACACATCGTAGCCAAGCTATTCTAAACTGATGACAAATCCAGCTCCAGGGCGGACAGGGTGCAAAGCGGGGATCTCGCACTGATCTCAGAATCCCAGATCCGGGGCCAGATCTCCCTTCTGGAAGAAGGATGGCGTTTCCCCTAGGGTGATTGTTAAATAAAACAGGGTCTTCACTTTCTTCGTCCAAGAAGAAAGAAGTGTTGGTCCAGAAATCAACAGGAAAGGGGCTAAGGAAAAAGGGAAGCGCCTTTCCTATCTTTTTAAATTTCCCGCACCCCCTTTTCTCTCCGCCTCCCCACACCGTCTCTGCTTCCAGCAGCAGCTCCAGGATCCTGCACCGAGAGGTGGTCAGGCGGGACAGTCTTAGGAAAGTAGGCGGTCCTGGCCCGATGAGTATCTCGGAGCCCGATTGTTGCTGTCTTCGGCGGCAGTTCCTCCTCCGCTCGGTTACTGGATTGCACACGCGGCCGTGCGCTCGGCTCTCGATTGCTCCGGCCTATCACCCTGGGATGCCGCCTGCCGCCGCCGCCAGCGCCGCGGCTGCCGGGCTTGTGGGTTTCTCAGAGGAGCGCGAGCCGGAGCCCAAGCAGCGGCCGGAGCGGCGGCCTGAGAGTTAGCGGGCCGGCCTGCGCGTTCCGCAGGAGCAAGCCGACGCCAGGCGGACAGAAGCCGGGCCGGGCGCGCCCCTCAGGCTGAGGGAGCCGGCGCTCTGAGCCCCTGAGGCGGCGGCGGCGGGAGCCGGTCAGAGGGGGCGGCCCCTGGCGGCGACGCCCCCGAGCCCAGCCCTGCCTGGCCGCGCTCCATCCTCAGCCGGAGCCCGGGCTGCCCTCGGACGCGCCCGCGGGGACTGAGGGGGGCTCCGCGGGGGCGGGAGGCGAGCCCGCGCCGCCCGGTGCTCCGCGTCCGCTCCGGACCCGCACCTGAGCCGGGTCCCGCCTCCGCTCGGGACCACGCTGGACCCGCCTCCCGGCCTGGGTCCCACCCTCCGCTTGCAGGTGGGCTGCGGCGCCCGGCCCTCGGGCGGTGGGCGGCGGGGAAGGAGGTGAGCGGCATCCGCGCCCGCTGCCGCTCGGGTGCCGGTGGCCGCGCCGTCGTCCCTTTCCCGCACCCGGGGAGCCCTCCCAGCCGCCGCCGCCGCCGCCTGCTCTCTTCGGGACACCATGGAGCTCTCCCCGTCGTCCGGAGGAGCCGCGGAGGCGCTGTCGTGGCCGGAGATGTTCTCGGGGCTGGAGTCCGACTCGCCGCTGCCCCCGGAGGATCTGGACGCGGTCGTCCCAGTCAGCGGGGCAGTGGCCGGTGGCATGCTGGATCGGATCCTTCTGGAGTCGGTGTGTCAGCAGCAGAGCTGGGTCCGGGTGTATGGTAAGGATCACAGGCCGTCTGTCTTAAAGCCTGGCATTTCTCTCTTTCCTTGGGCTCCGTTGCATTCCCAGTGCCCATCCATCCTAGGTCAGTTGCCCACATCCCCTTTTGTTTCAGGAAATGCATTTTTGACAAGTTTATCCAATATAGCGCCTGGGTATGTGACTCAGTAGGATCTTTGGACCTCTTTAGATATCCACAGTAAGTTTATGGAGTTGAGCTATTCACACGTAATTCTTAGGTGTTTAATTAAGGGCACTTGCTTCAGAGTCTTTAGGAAGGTTTGGTGGAACAAGGCACAAAACCAAGTGAATGGGATTTCATTTCCTTCTGTTGAGTGAAGCAAGTGTGGGAATGAAGATATGAAAAGGCTTAATAGAAGATGAGCTAATGGATGAAAACAAACAAAACAGTGCAAGAGAGAGAGCCCCAGCCCAAATTCAAGGCTTTGGTAGCAGTAGATTTACGTACAGCTTTTCTTTGAACCTTAATACCCTCTTATCCTGAGTGCATAGATTGTTTCAGATTGCGCTATTGTTTCTGGTTTTCATTGTAAAGAGACTGGGTTGCCACTCAGCAGGTTTAAAGTGATGAACACACTAAAAACTTTCCCTTTCTGCATTCCTAGTAACCACCTTTTAAATTAAAACTGAATGATGGTTTTCTATTAAGGCAAGGCTATGACAACATTAAAATGCTGGTTTTGAAAACTCATAGCCCAAGGATTTGTAGTCTGCATTCACAGTTTAGCTGTGCCGTTCCAAAATCGTGAAATAGCAAGATGTTTATCACTTAGTTCACGTGACCATAAAAGACATAAGTAATGTGGAAGAATATAAGATGACCAGTTTGAAGCATGTGGGATCAAATACAGTGTAGAAATGCTATTCTGCAATTATGTTCGCTAAGCCTGTTAGTGATCAGTGTATTATTTATTATTTGCTTTCATGCTTCCAAATAGGATCTGTGCTTTACAATTCAAGACCAACTTTTGAATGGTTTACAAGTTGTCTTTTGAAGGGTTCAGTTGACTTCAAGACTTCATGTCTAACTCTGTGAGAAAGCTCTCAGACATTTGAGTTCTTGCCTCAGTTCTGTCACTAGATTATTAAACAATTTAGGGCAGATTAGGTCACTTTTTTTTGCCTCAGATTCCATATCTATAAACTGAGTGGATTAAATATTTTGTAAAGGTCCTTTCAGTCATAAAAATCAGCAACTTATAACTAATTCTTAGGAATTTCAGTATATACCACTTTGTAATTTTGCTGGGGTTTGTGTGTGTGTGTGTGTGTGTGTGTGTGTGTGTGTGTGTGTGAGAGAGAGAGAGAGAGAGAGAGAGAGAGAGAGAGAGAGAGAGTTAAGGCAAGAAATTGGGAACTGATGCAGGGTTGCTCATGTTATTCTCAGCAGATTAAAAGCTTTGGTGCCTGATAGTCCATGTCTGCTAATTTAGTTTAGCTGTTCACTTATAAAAGGTTGATGAACGTCTAAAAGAAATGATCATAAATTGGAATATATTATGGTTACATTCTGCTATTGTATGTTTTTGTCTGTATACACTTTGACATATTGTTGTAACCCCCCAACCCCAAGCTGAAGACCAACCCTGGGCCTTGCACTTGATAGGTAAGTGCTCTACCACTGAGCTAATTCCAACCCCCCCTTTTTTTTTAAATGATAGAGGTAGGACCATTTTCCTATAAGAATATATGATAATTTGGTAAATGAATGTTCAGAAAGTTGGGTGTTCTAGCAGTTATTTTAAATATCATCCTTCACATGTAAGTCTTATACATTTATACTATTTTGTTTTGATAGTCTGTTCTAGAACTTGACTTGTATGCATGTTTTTGCACATACATAAAACACACCCACCAGACACATTTACACTTAGAAATTAGTATTGTACAACTAGGGCTAAAAACCTGATGGTTTTCTTTTTGGTTTTGCCACAGCTTGGTTGACACTTAACTTTGAGTGAGTTGTTTTTAACCCCCTGGTTCCAGGTGTCTTCATGCAACCTGGAATCTGGAATAGTTGGCTTACATGCACATACATTCATACACAAGAAGGTATTCAGAGGGAACATTTTTATGTCAAGTGCAGAATTTTCACTGCATCGTCTCACTTTTTAAAAAATGTGTGGCTTCTGGCAGTTAATTAAAAATTGTTTTTATTTACTCTTTACTTCTAAGAAAGTTCACCCTGTACATTGCTTTGGTTGTTCATAGTTGATTACAAACATTCCATACTAAATGACTCTTGGCTGTTTTGGGGTAGTTTTAAAATTGTCTATTTTATGATTATTTGAAGTCAGAATAACAGAATGTGGAAAATCAGTTTTTAAAACCACATTTATTATTTAGATAGGGTCTCACTATGTAGCCCTTGTCGGCCTGCAACTTGACATGTAGACCAGGCTGGTCTCAAATTCACTGGGATCTGTCTCTACCTCCAGGGTACTGGGATTAAAAGCACAAACCACCAAGGCCAGCTGGAAAGTACAAATTTAAGGAATATTTGTTTTTCTTGCTTCTTGTCTGCTTTGTGTATTCAAACTGATTCTCTTGGGTCATCTTTGATCTTCTACATAATTTAAAGAGATATTATTATTATTATTATTATTATCATTATTATTATTATTATTATTATTATTATTATTATTATTGTCTACCTATTTCAAAGAAACCCGGGAATTGGGAACCTTGTGTAGAATACATGGCTGGAGTTTGAGAACCTGGCTTCTTAATTCTGGCTTTGTCACAAATTTGTTCTCTAATTTTGGACAAATAGTTTTAATTTCCTTGGCTCTTAAGTTTGTGCATCAGATGTAGAATCTGGTTTAATTGGTCCCATTATTTAACTACTACTTGACTTACAAATTCTATCCTGACTTTTGAAGCCAGTCACTGAATAAGCTGTTAATTCAGTGCTTTTTTAAATCATTGTCGTCAGCAGGACTCTTGGGAAGTACTTTTATCAAAAGGTTAGTGAACTGAATTGAAAGAAGGAAAGTCAGACTGAGATATGTATTTGCTTGGGATGGTGTCACACATTAGGAAGGTAGGGGTAAGATGCTGCTCAGGTCTGGTTTACACAGACCTGCATGGTTTTAAAGGTAGACTCTACTGAAAAATGGTGTGGAGTGATGCTGGATGCTGGCTACAGCTCATATCCTCTTGAGACATCTTTGAAAAGCGCTAACAGATATTTCTTTCTTCTTAAGGTTATGGCACAGAAATTTTTAGGAGCAGTAGTTCCTTAGTCTACTTCACAAATCTGAAGACTGGCACTATATTTACTTTGTGGTTGACAGGTTTTACTCTTTGGTTGTTAATACATCCAGAGCTTTGTGTATTTCCATGATTTGGAAAACTTTTTTGGGATATGTTCAGAGCTTTGTAGTAGGTGGATCTATAATTAGAGCACAAACAAATGCAAGTCTTTGAGACACAGCTAGAAGAAAATGTTTATGCTGTCCTTTATTTGAATAAAGTGTTTCATTCCAGTATTACAGTCATTGTGCCCATGTCCTGTTAAGAGTAAAAATTTTTGACACTAGGTAGTCTGTCTTGTTTATAGTCTTACCTTGCTCCTCCTTATTGTCATCAGGTCTAGCAGATAGGTCCTTTGCCTCATAATAAATAGGTGTTGAATATTAATTCATCTTCCTTCCCTTTGACCATTTAGAGCTCAACCTGATTGATTTTATGGGTGGTAGACTAGCTTAAACAAAGACATGCCACAAACATCTAAATATGGATTCAGAACCCAAGAGCATCAAATGGAGAACATTTCCCAGATATTTATAGCGTCAAAGCAAAGTCAATTGGCTGCAAAAGCTCAGCAGGCTAGCAAAAGGAAACGTGAGCGGCAAAGTCAGCCTTACTGTCTATGCTTTCTGGTAAACAATGAGAACATTAAAACAAATTGCTTCACCGTGAATGGATGGCAAGAGTGGGATACCCCCGGAGTGATTTAAGCTACTCTAGAATTGTCTGAGGTAGTACTCTGCACTCATCGGTGTAACAGGTTTCCCAAGCATGTGCACTGATGACTCTTGGAGAATTAGATACCAAGTACCTTAAAGAGTGAACAAGAATCTTGTACTTTAAAATAGTGATATTACTGTTAGGATTTATCTCAAGTATTTAGTTAATAAAATGAGTAACAACATTATCATTAAGTTAGTGTAGATCTCTGTTTTTATTGATTGCCAAAGGAAGCTGCTGGAAAGTTTCTAAAAGTTGGTAGGTACTATTTCAGCAAACAAAAGAAAGAGGAATTTAATTATACTGCATTAAGTACCATGGACTTCCAGAAATATAAACAGTGGGAGTTGGTAAGCATTTCTCCTGTGAGCTGATGGAAGTCTTATGTAGTTGTAGTATATGGTATTTAATGTTTCAGGGATTAAGTTAAGATGAAGTCTAGTTTTTGCAATTATAGAAACTTGGTATTTATTTAAGATGTTATACCCAGCAGCAAGTCCAGCAAGCTGTTTCACTATGGCCCACTATGTTTTTTTTTTTTTTTTTCTTTCTTTCTTTCTTTTTCTTTTTTTCTTTCCTGAGATAAGGTTTCTCATTGTAGTCCTGATGTCCTAGAACTTGCTCTGTAGACCAGGCTGGCTGACCTCAGAAATCTGCCTGCCTCTGCTTTCTGAGTGCTGGGATTAGGGATTAAAGGCTTTCAAACAACACTTGGCTTCATTTTGGCTCACTATGAGTTAGATGTGGTTCAATCACTGGCTTTTAATAGGATGTTTTTACTTTGGATATTGTAAGTGACTAATTCTTTTTCTTGTCTTTCCTTTATTTTTCGCCTCCCCTGCCCTCAGTCACTCATTCTTACATGCTTCAATGTAGCCTCTTTTATAATAACATATACCTGAATGAAGTTGTTCAATCAAGTCTGAATGTTTTTGACGCTCTATATAATTGGTCGGTAGAAGAAAGATCAGTGAATATGTATCATATGCATCCCCAAACATGTTC